CACAGTGAGAGTCACAGTGTGCTGTGTGATGCCATCAATGAATTAGCTCTCTGGCCTTGCATGGACTTCCGCGTGAGTCGTGAGTGCGGAATCACGAATGAGCAGAACGCGTGCGGGCGCTCAAATTGCCTACGGTAGAACATGTGTACGCAAAACAAAAAGACGTACCTGGGCTGCTATAGCTGGATATGTGCGCGTTGTCTGCGCCAGACCGACACTGACTGAATCATCGGCAAATTTGGGCGCAGCTACGTTTATATATATGTGCGTACACGTGTGAAGCTGCTGGTTGGTCTTCTCGTCGCCGGGTCTGAGCGGCCTGTCGCGCCCTCTACCTCATCTGCTCGAGCAAAGAAGGGCGCAGATTCTTCGTCAAGCTCAAGGTTGCTTGTTCCCGAAGAGGCAGAGAGAAAGAGAGAGGAGACATCTCGAGCGCCTTGCCCAACGCTATAGCCTTGAAACGTTCAAGAGGCACGCAGCATCACTTCATGCCTTTTCGCTTCCTCTGCGTTTCCACGTGCTGTTTCAGCTTCTTGCTCTTCTCCCTCAGACTAGTCTTTGCCTTATTTCTGACACTGAAGCTCTTGGCAATCATGTTGAAGTTCTTTCCCTTCTTAGCCTTTTGCTCATTCGTCGTTGAGCTGTGTTTGGTCTTTTTGCCCTTTTTGCTTCCGAACTTTTCCCTTCCTTCTCTGCCCTCTGCGATGGAAGCCATCCTCTCCTCATAATCCGCCTTTCTCTTCTTTCGAGGTCCCAAAATGTCCATCTCGGACAACATCGTGTTGGTCGTGTCTACGGCACTGCCAGCGCTGCTTGCTTGCGTCGCAGTGCGCTTGGACGCCGCTTTGAGCTCCGCGATCTCCCGCTTTGCTGCTGCGGAACCCTTCTTGCCCGAAGCTGCCGCTTCTTCTGCAGCTTTGAGCCGCAGCTCTGCCAACTTGGCGAAATCGGCAGGAGTCAAAATCTACAGTCGAGAGCAGCTCCAAACTCAATTAGCCTCGAACCACGCGAGGTACAAAGCTGTGCGTACTGGCACACTCACCCTTGTCGTCGCCAGCTTGGAAAATTGCTCTGCTTGCTCGGCCGCACTCTCGCTGGGCGCCACCTCAACATCATCCCGGTCGTCACCTTCTTCTGCATCAGAGTCAGTGCCAGAGTGTTCAGACTTGTCTGCCAGCTTTCTTCTCGCTGCTCTGGTCTTTTCTCTTCTCTCAGCAAGGCGCTCCTTGATGCTCTTACTTTCCTCCGCAGCACCTCCCTTGGTCTTGTTGCCCTCATCTTCGGACCCACTAAGGTTGAATGCGCCCTCGCCGTCCTCATCCGAGCTGACCGCGATCCATCCTCCCGAGTCATCAGAGTCAGAATCACTTTCAGCTTGCCAGCCCTCCCAAGCTTTCTTGTCGGCTTCTTCTAATTCAGCCTCTGTTAGTGGAACGGCAGCGGCTTCCTGTTCGGCGAAATGCTGCTCTAGCAGCTCGATGCCAGGGATACCTCGAGTTGTAGCATCTTCCTCTCCAAACATGCGCGCTTGCTTGCCACTAGCCAGGCTCAAAGCGCCGCTCTTTCCCCTTTCGGACCTGGGTAACAGTGCAGGATTGACTTCTCGGTAGTAAAGAAGCAGGCCTCGACTAGCGGCTGATACGCCCTTGTCTTTGCTCTTCTTGTACCCTATAAGATCCTGTAGCAAGTCGCTCTCAATCGCCTCGGGCTGTCTTCGGCACGTTTCTCTAATAGCATTGATGCCCGCCGCCACCACTTCTGGGCCAACGCCAGGATGGACAAAGCCGTCGGCAAGTTTGCGCAGGACAGGCGTTAGCGCATCCGATGGAGTCTGCAAATGCACAGACTGGGCGAGTGAGACGAGGATCAAGGTGATGTAAAGCTGATGAGGATTCAAATATCTGTCGAAAAAAGTTGTCCAGAGTCAGCCCGATCTGAGAACAGCGCGTCCTCCAACGGAACTCACTTGACAATGTAGCTGTAGAAGGGCAGCACCGAGAGTCGGTGAGCCCCCATCACTCTGGCAAGTAATTGCATCATGCGAACTTTGAGTTCGATGTTGATTCTCTTATCGCCTCTGCTCAAGGATTCGAAAAGCTTCTCTCCAAAGCCTTGCGGGTCATTGAGCATGTGCACAGCAGCAAGGTTTGCACGACCATCCCCTTCAGCTTTCTCGTCTCTGCCATCTTGGTGCTCTTTTCTCCTCCGTCTCGCAAGGGCAGCAGCAGCTCGAACCTTTTTGTCTCCTGATCTCGTCTTCTTGTTTACTTTGCGTGCATGCTGCATCTTCGAGACATCAGGAACGTTCGGTTCATCGTCGGACTCTTCGTCGCTGCCACCGTCTTCTGCGGAGTGCAAGTCACCTAAGAAGAAGCGCACGGCGGAGGACTGCACCTTTGGATGCGGATGGAAGCACGCCAATGCGAGCAGAGAGACTGTCTTTGCATCGGTCCTGATGCGCAAAGCAAAAGAGCACATCTGCGTCAATGATGTGTGGTCCTGATCAGACATCTCGTTCTTAAACGGGACGCTCACCAGATTCCTTTCCTCCACAGATCTGCAGCAAGACGCGTGGCCCAGAGTGCCTCACTCCTGCCTTTGACCTCGGCTCCCTTCCGCCACACTTCGCTTGGAGCGTCGCGTGCGGGGATGCCACGCTCGATGACCGAGAATAGCAGACCTTGAACAACTCTGTTGTGTCGGTGGTTGATGGCTTTTTTGTTTTGCGCTTTGATATCTGCCAAGATGGTCGTTTGCAGTAGCGACCTGAAAGTTGCAGACGTTGTCTGTGAGAGAAGAGGGAAGAGGGTGCGTAGCAGACTGCAGGCGCACAGCGGTCAGCGCGTGCTGCACCGGAACAGTAGGGCAAAGACCGGCTGGACTCACTGCTCCGAAGTGATGACGTCCCGATTACGTAGAAGTACCAGAGCGCGAACGGCGGAATGCCGCACGTCAGCACCAAGCTTGGAATGGTGGTTCAATAAGAGCTCCGACAGGTCGCTTGGGAAGTTTCTTGTCACCTCAGGAAAGGATGGGGCAAGCTGATCCCAAAGCAAATTGCAGACGTTAGGCAACGAATGTACCGGTGGTACACCTAGCAAAGATCCACCTCACCTGAGTGATGAAACCAATGAGAGCGCAAAAGGTGTCTTCCTGTTCTTTGCCAATCTTCGCCCCGCTCATCGCTCCGCCCTCGCCCAGATTCGCCGCATACAACATCCTCATGCTCTGGTAGTGATTCCATTGCGCTCCGAACTCGTCCGCATATGCCGTCGGACTGCGTTTCACCAGATTCTGCAGAGCTGGCAGATTCGCAACGTTGAGCAAGCCACGAGCTTTGGAGGAATGGGCCAGCGCGACGACACCTGCGGTAGAGTGTGCTTCGGACCAGTCCGGTACTGCGTGTGGCGATCTGGAGGATGGCTGCATCGCCTTGCGCACCATTTTTTTCCAGTTGACTGTGCTCACAGGAAGCACCAATTCTCGCGAAGATCGTTAGGCCTGGCGGTGAAGCTGGGAAGTGAAGGGCCCAAGTCGAGCGCATGTAGAGCGTTCTCGTCGAGTCGTGAGTCAAAATGCAGACTTTTCCTTCACGTTAGGCTGTGCAAAGCAAAAAAAGAATCACGAATCTTGAATGCCCTTGACCAAAATTTAATGAACCGCTCACGTGACCTGGGCTGCATGCGTCTCGTGCGGGACTCGGTCTTGGCGGTGTGCAGAGGCTCGTGCAGCTCGCGCGTCGGTAGGCCCAAACCCAACACCCAAATTCTGCGGAGCATCGCCCCACACCATACAGCCAGAGCACTCACGCTGCTGGAAGTCGGTGTGCATGCACGGTCACACGGGGGCGCCAAAACAGCGATAAGGGTTCTTCTGATTGGGCCACGCATGGACCGGTACAAGTCTACGCCGGCAAGTCGTGCTCGGTAGCCACGAACACTCCTCACATCTGCTTGCTGAGATTACGCTCCTTCTCAAGTGCACCACCATCAACTCCAATTTGGCTCTTGAGCAGGCATTTACGCGCACCATGTCCGCTCGATCCATCTCCAAGGCTGCGTCGCAGCTTCTAAAGACTCAGGGCGCTACTCTGGGACGCGTGCGCGCAGCGGGTGCTGCGAACGCTGCTCACAAGCTCGATGTGCCTTCCTTGGCAAGAGGCCAGGCATCAGCAGCTGATGCGTCTCAGAGACTAACACCTGAACCATTGCCGACGTTGGACACGACGCCTTCCGTCTCTTCCATTCCTCGAGGCCCCGCTCCGCCGGACGGAACGACGCGACATGACTGGAGAAGAGCCGAGGTGGCAGAGATTTACAACTCTCCATTGCTGGACCTGATCTTCAGATCGGGCGCTGTGCATAGGGTGCACCATCCTCCTGGTTCCGTACAGCTCTGCACCCTCATGAACATCAAGGAAGGCGGTTGTTCCGAAGACTGTGGATATTGCAGCCAGTCCAGCAAGTACACTACTCCCAGCACGCCAAGCAAGCTTTCAGAGGTGGATGAAGTCCTAGTGGAGGCTAGAAAAGCTAGGGATAATGGTTCCACACGCTTCTGCATGGGTGCAGCTTGGAGAGAAGTGGGTGGCCGTAAGAGAGGTTTCAACCGCATTCTCGAGATGGTCAGCGAGATTCGGTGAGTGTGAAGTGTGATGGAGGTACATCTCTTGCCGAAGGAAGCGAGTGGCTGACTTTAGATGCACATGACCCACCTGGCAGTGGCATGGGTATGGAGGTGTGCACCACTCTAGGAATGCTGACTCCGGAGCAGGCGGTGCAACTCAAGAACGCTGGGCTAACCGCATACAACCACAACCTCGACACCAGTCGAGAGTATTATGGCAAGGTGAGAACAAGATGCCCCGACACGTTCTGTGTCGCGCGAGTATGATGCTCATTGCGCCTCCCAATCAGGTCGTCACTTCACGCACTTACGATGACCGGATCTCAACCCTCGAAGCCGTACGAAATGCGGGAATTTCCGTTTGTTCTGGTGGCATACTTGGTCTCGGCGAAGAGGCAGCTGATCGTGTTGGTTTGATCTGGGAGATGAGTCGACTGCCGGAACACCCCGAAAGCTTCCCCGTCAATGCCTTGGTCGCAATTCCCGGAACTCCGATGCACGGCAACGAGGTGAGAACAACAGACAAGCCTCCAGATGCAATGGGCCTTCTGGCAAATTGAGCTTACTCTGCGCTCCTTGCTTGTAGCCTGTGGACATCCGAACCATGCTGCGCACGATTGCGACTGCACGCCTCGTGCTGCCTACCTCTATCATCCGCCTTGCAGCAGGTAGACACCTCTTCACCGAGTCGGAACAAGCGATGTGCTTCTTGGCCGGTGCCAATGCGATCTTCACCGGTCACAAGATGTTGACGACCCCTACTAGTGGATGGGATGACGACAAGGCGATGCTGGAGAGATGGGGCTTGAGAGGCATGAGATCTTTTGAAGAGAAGAGGATGTCAAGTCATGCGCCCGAGCAGCACCCTGTGGAGGGCGCGTCGCCCGCTCTTAGGGCCGAGCAGGAGGGAATGGGCTTGCAGCGCAATGTTGCTGCGCTCTGAACGCGGATCGAGCGCTAGCAATCTGCACTGGCAGGTGTTTCTCTCAGAGTACATACTTCTGCATCCTCGAAAACGAATGCAACAAGTTCTACATTTACGTCTTGCCTGTCTCGGGTCTATTCAATGCGGCCTTCGCGCTACCGAGACTCGGCGACTCTGAGCTTAACATAACATTCGTTGACTCGCTCATTTGAAATGACCGCACCTCTGCATCCTCGGCTGTAGAAGGTTGTGTGTTCAATGCATCTGGACAGGGCTTGACTCTACATACGAGAAGGTCTTGACGGAGAGCAAGGCAGAGAGAATCGAGCCAATCTTGAGTCACGAATATGGGGTTGCATCACTCGCCGCTTGCACCAAGAGCTGACGAGCATCAAGCACGTGCCGGCGCTCAGCTGGGTCATGATGGATTCCTGATGGCTGTAATCCCCAATAGAACTTGTTGAAAAGAATTCCCTCGCTTCAAAATTCAAATTTTCTCAATTCTTGCCCTCAGTGAGCCTAGCCTTGGCACGCCATTCTTTTGATTGTTCTCTAGGCACAGGCACGAGCATGCTCCTCAATTCACGCATGCATAGTGCCACATGTGCAGCGGCTGTCTGTCCGCCTCCAAGCAGCACGAGCGAAGGACACAAAAGCTGCTGTCAGCCACGGATCCGACGGGTGCCTGACATCCATCAGTCTATGCAATCACGTCAGACGTGTATCTCTAATCAACTTTCACGATGAAAAGTGAATGCCGCGCATGATCAGTCTTGAGCACGTGCAGCACGACACATGTACAAACTCGTTAGAAAACAGATTGCCGAAGTGACGCTTCGTCCTCATCGCTCTTCGACCACCGTGGCCCGAGATCTGCGCGGCACTGTTGAACAAGATTCCCAGCCCGTTCCCTCAATGCTTTGAGCTAGAAGACTGTGACCCCACATGGCAGGATCCTCGCTCGTGTGTAGCATCACGCACGATTGTCAGACTCGCAACTGCCACTGACAGCACGTAGGGTTCATTCAAGTCACAGATTTGTGTTGCCTATGCTCATATAGCGGGTCTCGGGAAGCAACACCCAGCCGAGCTGAGTCTGGAGAGCCTGAGACAAGTCCCGGGCGGAAGTTTCTTCACGCTTGCCTAGCTCCTCCACACCTGACCACGGGCCATTCCGGAGGCACCCACAGGCTTGAGCAACACGATCTCAATGAATCAATTGGTAAGTTGCCTGGAGATTCTTGATAGACGAACATGTTCGGTAAACACTCGAGCTGCCTTTGATCGGATTGATCATGGCAATCAGTGTTTTGGAGGTTTCATGGTCACTCCAGGAATCACGAATGTCCATTTCTTGAATGACCCCATGAACGCCCAACGACGAATACGGCAAGCGCCTTATACCCCGCCGGGCGCGTGGATCGGAGCTTCTCAGCGTAAGGGGACGCTGGTCATGCATGCACTTCAATGATAGACTAACTGTTCAAAGGCCAAGACGCGTCAAAGGGCCTCGTCGACTGCTGGCCACAGCTAGCAAGTCAAGCTTCACAGATTCGCGGAGGTCCGGAAAGTGAGACACAACAAAAGGGCGCGAACGGCCTACTCCGCTTATAGCTAGTGCTACATAGCAGCAGTCGGTGGCATGCTGTGCTGCTGCTGCGGTCACACGCGTAAAGTGCTGCACAAACGCCATCCAGCAGTAGTCGCGGCCAGCAGTCGCGGCCGAACTCCCAGAAATTGTCTCACGCGCGCATCCCATCCATGCATGCATGCATCTCTTTCTCTTCATCCACGAGCTAGCCCACTCACCGCCCGCGCTTCCGTTTCATCGTTGCTGTGTGCGAGTTGTACAAATGCATTCCCGCTGCCTAGTTCGACTCTGCCAAGCCCGAGATGTGGGCGATGGCAAGAGCAAGGAAGAGTAATAATCGTGAATGCAGGAGAAGGCCGACATGCCGCCCTCGAGTCGACACGGTCGTGCGTGAGCGAGAGCTGCTGTGCACCTTGTTTCGCACTAGCGTGCCGAGAACTGTCATCGGACGTTTCACATTTCGAGCTCTTTCGGATCCGACGCCTTCCCTATTCAGTTGACCCACACGTCTACGTCAACCTCTGCTGCCTAGCTTGGCCTTTCTCTGGCCTTTATCCCCGGCTGACATGCGCAGGTGCGTCCGTGACAGCTCTTGCTCTCTCGTGGTGCTTCATCGTTCGCGTCTGCGTCCGACATGGCCGACAAGACAAGGAGCGTGTCTGTCGACTGTGTGGTCGCAGGTCGGGGCGTCATCCGCGTGAGGTCGAGCAAAGCGCAAATCTAGGCTCATGGCGGAGGTTTTTGGCTGTAAGCTTGAGTTGATTGCGTGTGCTTCGTGGAGACCGAGATCTGGAAGAACTGCATGCATGATATTGGTGGGCAGGCCGCAGGAGCCGCAAGAGCCTCGAGGACGCTGAATATGCCGGCCATTTACCGGAATGTTTCAGTGTTGCTTGATGAGCTGCGTTTGTATACTCCGTCTAGCTTGCCCTGCACATCTCCGTGAATTGAAAGGTGCTTGGTAGCCTGTTGCATGAGACAATCATGACCGAGACACGGATCCTGAAAGAAAAGCTTTCCCGTCTTGGCACTGCCGTTCTCGGTCAGCAGAAGTTTCGAGGATCGGAACGACTTGACAAGGACGTAGCAATCTGAATCGATTCGCAAAATGGTTCATCAATCTTCTGGATGGTCAAACAGCCATTCATCGTCGCGAACACATTTTCTTCTCATTCCACCACATCCACCTTCCACAGACGCCATCGAGACCCTCTCAAGCTTAATCCTTTCTGACTGTTCACAAGGGACGCACAGAACATCTCCCACTGGCAGCTCTACCATCCAAGCATGAGTACCTTGAAATTGGGCTCTATAGAGCCTTCATCCAATCGCAGAAGATCGAGGACTCGATCCTTCCTCACAGCCTGTCATTTGCTACCTAGCAGCGATGCCGCTTCGCCAGTGCCCAGTGGCTCCCAAGCATCTTCACTGGAGACCAACACCGGCAACTCCAGACTTCACCTCGAGCACAGCAGCATCAAGTCTCCTCGACACAAATCATCATTTGGCTCCTTCACCTTCTCTCACGGCACCAGAAGCAAAGCTTCACTGCTGTCCGAGGGTTCAGGAGAGCATGGCGCGCGACCAGTAAGCTCGCTCTCGATGCGCTGCGCCTCTGGACGAGGCTTCACGGATGCATCTCTGGATGCCTACGACGATTTTGACGAGAATGTGCAATCACCTCTGCTCGCAGGCACGAACGAGCATGGGAGCATGGCAAGCGAGACTTTCCGCAGACTCGACACCACGCCGGCTTCGAGTCAACTGGTGCAGGCCTCGCGCAGCCCCTCGCTTCGCAGCAAGGCAAGCGGAAGCACGCTCATGGCGAGCGCCCCTAGCAGCCCAGCCGCGACTTCGCCAGTCATCTCCCGAAGGACCTCGCAAGCTTCCATGTCCTCTATGGCTTCTTATGCTACTGCCGCTTCTCGTCTCACATCCCCGCCCCCCCGACCACCACGAAGAAGACCCAGCCAACAAAGTCTGACGGTCGCCACCCCCAGCAAAACCGGATGTGATGCCACAGGCTCGATGGCTCATGCGATGTGTAGCACTGCTCCTCTCCGCATCTCTCCAAATAGGATGCTTCGAGCCCTCTCCCCGCTTCCTGGGGGCATCGCAGCTTCCTTGAAGGCATCCAGCGGAGTAGAGCTAAGCACGGAGGGTGCAGAGAAGGCGACAGCACATTCATCACCCGCTCCAGCGATGACGGCTCGGTCCTCTTCTCTCGGAGCTCGTGCCATGGGCGCTCTGCGTGCGAGCCCTTTGCATCGACGTAGTCAAAGCGCGCAGATGTACGAGCCACCTGTCAAGAGCTCTCTGCGCTCTGAGCTTCCCTGGACGTTGGCACTGGGCGATGATAGATTTGCAGCCGAGCAAGAGGATGAGGCAGAGCTGCACGCACGCACGCGCGCCACGATCGCGTATTTCGCGCGTCAGCGCGGATCAAAGTTGGAGCCGGTCTCGAAGCTGCATCAGCCAAGCACTCAGCTAGCTGCTGCATCTGCTGCCCGCGCTTTCATGCGTGGCTCGAATGACGGACCAGCCTCGCCCAAGGATTCGCTGTCATCGTTCGACAACTCGTCCTCCTCCACAGCACCGTCTTCAACTACCTTCACCGACCCATCTGATTCCGAGGAGGATGCGCACGGTGACGAGACTCAAAAGAGTCCGGAGCGCTCGATTCCTTCACCTCTCTCCTCAGCTGCAGGCTCTTCAGCACGAGGCAACAGTCTCACCTCAAGAGCTTTCGAGGGTGAGCCAGCCAGCTGGAGCCCTGCGCTGCTGCCTCGGGGCGAGGTTGATCCATGGGACGACGACGAGTGGAGCGATGTAGAGAGCACATTGCATGCGTGTGAAGCGAGAGAGCCCTTCCCAGATAAGGCAAAACGACAGACTTTGGATGCAATCAACGTCTCCCCACTGGTGCTTTCCAAAGCCTTGCCGGACTCAATTTGCGCTGACTTGGTGGACCAAAAGAGCCCCAGGAGAAGTCCTACCTGCACTCTTTCCGCAACACCATCCTCTACTAGAAAGACCGAGACGTGGCGCATCAACACGGACGCGAGTCCTTCACCTCTTTTTAAAGCTGATCAACAGTCTGAGCAGCAGCTCTTCTTTCCGGTGCCCCCTCCCGTGTCCGGCGGTCTGTCATCCTCTTTGCGGGAGCGCGGCAAGGAGAGGGACAGCCTGCTCGCTCTCGCTCCCGTTTCTGAGTATCATCGTCGCTCGTTGAGCTCCAAGAGGGCTTTGGCTCGAGCTGCCGAGAGAGCTGCGACGAGAGGCGATGATGGTCAGTCCATCACCGATATCACGTCGTCCGAAACGGAGTTGAAGCACTTTGACTCTACAGACGAAGAAGAGGATGAGATTGGTGAAGATTTGAAGCTTTTCAAACCCAAGGCTCTGCGTCGCGCATCGCGGCTGGACGTCTGTGAGGTTCACCAAGAGCCTCGCGGCGACGACAATGATCTCGCAAAGCAGGAAGAACCCAAATTCCAGCCTAGACACCGTGATGTGGCCTTCGAGCTAAGCATTCGGCCGGTCTTGAGCAACAGATGCAGAAGCGCCTCAATGTCTCCCAGCTCCAGCAGCTCCTTCAGCAGCAGGCGAATCACTTGGGCCAACGTCCCTTAGATGCCTCCTTCGACCAACGTCGCTCCAATTTTTTTTTCCCCCCAAATGTACATGAAAGAGTTTCTGCTCTTGCGAACCTGAGCATTTCCTTGCCCTCGAATCCGCACAACTCTCCCGCCCAGCTCCCAAGGACCCCATCGAACAAGCACTCAAGCACGCAATACAATCAGAATCTAGCAATCCTACCTTTTCCGTTCCGCATACCCCACATACAACATGACCAAATATGGTCTCAACGTAATCAGACATTGAAATTCAATAACACATCCTCGCCGGGTTGTGAGTTTCGCATACAAGTCTACAGGTCGGTCAGCGGACGTGTAAGAGGTATCTGAAGTGAAGGGTGATGCATTTGTGGGACCAATGAAAGTAGGTGAAGATAAAGAAAATACCACGCAATGGCCGGCGGGGGGCATTCGAGTACATGTGCCACGGAGGAAAGTTGAGGTGAAGCGGTTTTTGATTCATCGACGCGATTTGAAAGCGTCGCCTCCGCTTCCGCCCAAAGGTTTCAAGGGTTGCGCATTGGCGGGTTTGATAGGAGAGATATCCATAGGCAAGTCCAAGCCTGACGAGATGGCCTGCATTCGAACACGGACGTTTCCCGATCGGGTAGGAGAGGGGGAGGGGGGGGGATGCGTAAATGTCAGTTTCTGATAGCTTGAACTAGATTGAGCCGCTCTACCAGCAACAGAATACGCAAAAGAAAAGCAAGAAGATGAAATCAAGAAGAGAAGAAGAACAACAAGAAGACTCACATCTCCTTCGCTCGAGCCCCACGCAAAGAATCCATTAGCCGATGCAGCTGCTCCACCTAGCAACTTTCTCTTCTTTTTCTTGCCATCATCAGCGACGCCAGGTTGATTGCGAGCTCGAGTCTGAACAGTCGAGGTTTCCTGCCCTCTATTTTTATTGGTCGCATCAATAGCCGCAGGGCGATTGTTGATATTGCTCGCGTTTCGAGAAGCAGAGAGCGCCTTGTTGCCCCCTTTGCCCTCGTTCGATGTTTGCGCCTGCGCCTGCGCCTGGGACTCTTTGGACAAGTCGCTTTTAGACCTGACGCTCTTGATCATGGGAGTAGCCATGATTTCCAATTCCAGCGCCTTTCTCCTCTCTTCGTCCGCCTCTACACTTTTACGCTTGCGCGTCGCATTCGTACCTCGAGAGCTGGTAGTTGTCGAAGCAGCAGGTACAAGAGCAGAAGAGGAAGAAGCGTTCGTCTTTGACGCTGCTCCACCACGTTTCCTACGCGGCGCATCCTCTTCTTGTTCCTCTTCTGCTTGTGCAAAGGAAGAATCCTGATTGTTCAAAGGAGCAGCTGAATCCGAATCGCTGTCGCTGCTCTCTTCATACAATCCCCTCTTTCGAGGCTTTCGAGCCTGTTTGCGGCCGTTAGAATCGGCAGCAGATCCGGCCTTTGCTTTCGAGCTTTTATCACCTTTCGAGGCGACGCTCTTGCTCTCCTTTGTCGGAGGGGCCGGGGCCGCGCTGGCTTTTGCCGCGATAAGCTCTCGCGCATCTTCGTCTTCGTCCGAGTCGTCTTGCGCGTCCTCCTCGTCCGAGTCGATGGAGAGATCCATAGCAAGAGGGGTTTTTCGGACCGAACGAGCTGCTCTGGGCGGGGAAGAACTGTGTGCTAAAGCTTTATGGACCAGGTCCTTTTTGATGGCAGGAGGTGGTGGTGGTGGCATCGTGGCATTCTTCTTCAATGCCATCACTTCCCTTTGCAATTCTCTTCTCAGCTTCTCCTCCGACTCCGCCTTCGCTCGGACTTTGACGAGCTCAGCCAGAGCACAGCCATCATCATCCTTCTCCGCTCTTTTGGCTTTCGCTCTCTGCAGTTCCTCTCGAACCTCTTCCAGCTCCGTCAGAGCTTCGTTGCGCTCCTCTTCCACCTTCATGCCCTGCCTAGCAATCGTTCTCCGCCTCTCCTTTTCCTCTTTCAACTTCTTCTCCATCTCTTGCATCCTCGCCGTTGTAGTCGCAGAGTCTGCATCGCCTGCGCCTCCAGCTTCGAGAGCGGATCTGAGGTGCCTGCTATGCTTCTTGGCCAATCGAAGGTCCCGCTCCAAATCCTGCGCCCTATACGTCTGATACGTAGCTTCGTTTCTACAAATTGTGAGCTCAATGTTGACTCTTCTCGTGTTCTCGCACTGCACATCCTCGCGCGCAAGGAATTTCCACTCCATCTCATCCCTCTCCAAAGCTCCCTCTATCGCATCCAATTCCACCTCTTCCCTCCTTCGCTTCTCCTCTGCGCACTTTCTCTGCATCTCCGCAACCCTCAAGCACATCTGCGCCTTTTCAGCGCATTCCGCTTCGCACTCCGCCTTCCACCCATCCGCATCCTCCTTGCTCCTCTCCAAGCTCCTCTGCAACTTTTCAACCTCCCTTTCCCGACCAGCCAACGTCCTTCGAAGCTCGGCAATCTCCGCATTCGTCACGCGCTGCAGTCTCATCTCTGGATCTAGCCTACGCGAGCTGCCCGGTGCGATTGCTGGGCTCGAATTCGCGCCGGAGCTGGACAGCTTGAAAGGCGTGAAGGGCTTGGAACGAGGCGTGGCAAGTTCGACCGTGAGCGCATCTTCCTCCTTCTTCGCCCCTGCCCCTGCCCCTTGCTGCCCCTCGATCGCTGCGCTTGAAAGTGGGGCGGTTGCTGACATCTTCTCTGCCTGTTCAGGGCTGTTGGCCTGCTGATTGCGCAAGCTGGCGCGAACACTTCGTCGAGCGCGTCGAGCAGCTTCCTCATCCGCCGCCATCGCATTCGCATTCGCAGCAGCATCCAGCAAATCCTGCCCAGACGTAGCTTTCTCAACTCGTCCGCTCTCGCTCTCGACTTGGTCAGCGTCCGTCGAGCCAGTCGTACCGACCCGCGTGCTCTTTCTCATCTCCGCCCTGCGCTTGTCCACAAACACATTGGCATCATTCTCCATCCTCATAGCATCTTCCAACCTCTTCAAGAATTCCTCATCCGTCTTTGCATCTTTGGGTGCGGTTGCACTTGCTGGACGAGGAGTAGTCGAGATGCTCTGATTGGAAAGACGGGAAAGACGAGAAGAACGTTTGATGGGCTGAGAAGAGGGGGATTTGATGGTCGAGAGGCTGCTGCGCGCCTTGGCGGATGATCGACGTGCACGTGCGGGCGAGGAGTGGCTGGATGTGGATGTGATTAGTGGTGCGTGGGTCGATGTGCCCAAATCGCTAGAAGCTTGGGCATCTGTGCGCATCGAGAGGTCCTTGAAGCTCTCGTCGGGCGCATTTGTTGCGCTGCCCTGTTGAGCAGAAGAGGAGACGCGCGCTATCGACTTTGCGACGGGGATCAAGCTTGCAGGCCGACCGTTTGGTCGAGGTGTGGAAGGAGATTCGCACGCATTGGCGTTGCCCTCCTGATCGGCTTGCGCTGTGTTGGAAGCAGCACCAGCAGCAGTGATGACTTCTGGTGCTTTGGCGGTGCTCGAATGCATACGCGCAGTCAGATCGCCGGCCTTTTTGGCCGCCTCGTTCACACTGGGATAAAGCGGTGTACCCGCCATCGTTGCTCTGGCCGTGTTGCTAGGTAATGAAGCACCAACACCTATATCCCTCTCTGGCGCTCTTCTCGACCAGGGCGAAGAAGAAGGAATGGGAGCTGTCACTTTGCTCAGACTGGATGGAGCAGTGTTCGAGGTCGAAGTAGAGGAAGACTTGGGTGGCGTGGGCTTGATGCCTCGATCGAGACGTTGTTGACGCTCCATGAGGTTGGGAAGCGCCATGTCTTCTAGCGAAGGCCAGGATTGAGCCACCGAGCTGGCAGACTGAGCACTGCTTGTATGCATGGTGCGTGCTTCGCCCAAAGCAGGAGCAGGAGCGGGTGCGGGTGAAGGAGTGGCATCCACTCGCTTCTTTGGCGGTGTCCTCTCGATCAACATCCTGGCCGACTAATTGATTTGGGCTGGTGCTGGTCGAACCTTTGTGGTGAAGAAAAGGCGGACTTAGACTTGATGAGGGGGGGCAGAAGGTCCGTTCAGCGGCAGGCCATCGAGATGCAGACCCAAGAGTGGAGTCTAGGGGAGTCACGTAGCTACAAGGTGAGGGTCGATAGACTGCAAGTGCAAGAGGATCACGAATCATGTCTGAGCAGCAGCAGCAGCAGCTCATCCCATCCGCGCAATCAAATTGAATCGTGAATAGAAGTTGCATGCCCACAGCCAGCACGTGCATCACAGCAGCATACATGTGTAGGTATGCCAATCAAGAGTCACGAGTGCTCATAGCCTTGCGCGCGCGCGCCGCTGTTGTTCCTGTTATACCGGTACACACCTGGCAGGCGGCCCGCCTGGCGCGGCGCGTCCGATCGTGAGCAAAGCCGTCAACGCGTTTGATCACGTGACGTACTTGCACCGCTCGCTTGGAATTCTTGATTTTGAATTTTTCTCGCATGAAATCACGAATCACGAATGCCAAACGTCGAGGCGAAAAGGCTACACAAAGATTGAGGAATGGGCAGCGCGCAAACAGCCTTCATTCATACATCTCGAACTTGAACTCACAACTACTGTCCTGTCGCTTTGTAGGTCCATCTACCGCTCCATCTGTATTTCAAAGGCGTCCAATCACGCTCTCATTGCACTGCCCTTTGACGCTCTTGCGCTGGAGATACAAGCTGCGCCTAGCTCTCGGCGATCTCAGCACACACCACGCACCACGCACCCCCCCACCAACCAGCATCGGAGAAGCTAGATATGGGTAGCGCGCGAGTTCAGTACGCGCTAGAGCGTACTCTGCCTCAGCTCACCTGGCTGGAGTCGACGGGTCAATTCAGCAAGTCGGAGTTGCAGCAGGTCACCTCTTCTCGATCCAAGCACGAGCAATCGCTGATTCGTCGAGGTGTGACTCGCGAAGATTTTCATCGATACATTGCATTCGAAGATGATTTCGAATCTCTGCGCTTGTTGAGAGAGGAACGTTTGAGCAGACCCATCAGCGTCAAGGAGAGCGCCAAGGCTCGAGCAGATGCGATCAGGACGCTCATCAATATCTACGAACGCGGTTGCAAAAGATTAAGAGGAGATGTGATGTTTTGGGAAGAGTACATCGCTTGGAGTCTGGCAAAAGGAATGAGGATCGTCAGCGGAAGAATCATTGCCAGGGCTTTGGCAATGTTTCCCAATGCTGTCAGACTATGGTTAAGGTGTGCGGATTGGCAGTTGAACGTCAATGGCGCTCCTAATGCTGCTAGAGCGTTGCTGCAGCGAGCAATCAGACTCAATGCCAGACCTCATCTCTCCAGCATCGGGAGTGGCATCGAGAGGCCAAGCAAGAGGCAGAGAACCTCTTCGAATCGATCCACACTGTCGCAATTGCATCAGCAGCAGTCGCAACAATCACTTGTCCCTCAAGCCAATATTTCAAAAGAGGAAGAACAAGTGCTGAGCCTTTGGATCGAGTATATCCGAATGGAACTGGTCTTTTTGGAGAGGGTACGCAGGCGCAGAAAAGTGCTCGGCATATCGATGGACGAGGAAAAGGCACCTGATGCAGCGACGACGCTGCAAGACGAGAGCGGGCACTCCGAGATGGAACAGGCGGTGCTGAAGGATGTACCTGCGGCAGACGATGCTCAAGAGTCCAACAGTCAGGTGATCGCTGCTCAGAATGCTGCGAGCGCTGCGGCGGCGGACGCCCGGTCCGGAGGCGCTTTGATCGTGCAAGGCGCCATTCCAATCTCGATCATGCGAGCCGCTTTGGCTCTCGATAGTCCGACGTCTCTTCCACCAAGAACGCATCTTCGCCTGCTCCTATCTCTGCACCTACTCTTCAGATCGTTCCCTTTCCTCAGCTCGAGCAGCGGTGAATGCGGTCCGCGCACACACCTTCTAGAAGCGTTGCGCACTACAGTGGAGGACAGGTTCAAAAGGCACGAAGTCGTCGAGCTGCTGCGTGGAAGCGACACATTGCTGGACAAAGCGTTCGTTCTGGAGCTGCAAGAGGACGAAGAGGAAGAAGCGGGAGGGTGGTCTGCAGAAGGCCAAAAGCCAGCACAGACATTGTTGGGCCGAGCTAGCACATTATCCACAGGAGGCGCGAGTCCCGAGCTGCTCTTGTTGGACAGTGTATCGAGAAGAGCAGGCCTGCATGCTTTGCTAGGTCCGCAAGAGACATACGGAGCAGCTCTCATCGTCCTTCAGCTCTCTGCTTATGCTTTCAAAGTTGCTCGAGGGGAAAAGAACTCTTCGACTGCTCGACTGCTTCAAGCACCCATCGAAGCCTTTAGAAAGATCTTGACGAGCGAATCGATCGGCCAGCTGGATGCGTCGGGCAGGAGCAGGTTGGTCAAGTGCGTCATTGCCTTGCATCTCGTCCTCGGCAACATCAATACCAGTAGCGGCATGACCAACACCAAGGGAAAAGGGGAAGCTGATACTCGAGAGTCGCTGGACGCGGAGGTCAAGACGTACCTGAGAGCAGCAACAAGTCGACTGATCAAGAGTGCGGAAAGATTGGTGCCGATTTCGCAATTGCACTTGGCAAGATTGGAGGTGCAGGTGGATGAGATGATCGACGGTCGAGGCAGCCGAAACGGCGATCTGGCAGGCTGGAAAAGAGTGCACGACGATGCTTGCAGAGCTACGAACTCGAGCGCAAAGTGCGCAGAGCTCTCATCGGATGATCTGCTCGGTATACTTCGTATCAGACTTTGGTCCGTTCGCGCGTCGCCCCAAGATGCGCCAGGAAAGGGAGCGGGAAGATTGGGAGAGGAATGGGAAAGGGTGTTTAGGGACGGAGGAGAGAGTGTGTGGAAAGATGCGAAGCTGGTCGAGGAGAGATGCGAGTGGTTGGCAAGTGCGCTCGAAGGAGCTTCCAAGGTCGAAAGGGACTCGCTTCGAAAGACTTTCGAGGTGAGTTTGCATGGACGAGTCTTGCATGTCCATCCGACACATCTCTCGCGCAAGCTAGATGCCCCCTAACCATTCTGAACTGGCTCACTTCTTCCGCCCCCTCTCCGGCGCGCGCCCCTCTTGCTGCAACGCTGAAAAATAGGAAGATCTTCGAAAGGCTTCTCGTCACCCAGAGTCGTTCTTGCTCCTGGCCAAAGCTTACCTTTCGAGCGGCGTCCAACTCAAACGTAGTCTGACAGAGCAGACGAATCAAGTGCTCATGTATGCACCTTCGAACTCTTTGATTCTCTACGAACTCTTTACTAGCGCATTGGCTCGATTTGGTCTCGCCACGCCATCCTCGAGCATTCTCTCACCATCATCATCATCACCATCAGCAGCAGCAGCAAAGACGTACGAAGCTCTGGATCGAGCCTCGAAAGCAAGCTTGGACAAGCTTTTGCAGAGGTTGAGCAACGCTCTGAACAAACCTGCGGTGCAAAGGACCAAGACGTTCTTGTTCGTAGCTACGTACCAGCGAGATGTCAAGAGGGATTTGGCGGGTGCCAATGAGACTTTGAGAAGGGCTTGCAAGGTGCTGGGAAGTAGCAGTAGGCAATGGTTGGAGAGGCAATGGGTCGCGAATACCGGTGCGCACGATGAGTGGCAGGCCGAGGCCGAGGAGAGGGGGCAGGATGGTGGAGAGTCGATGCTGCATATTCGGTCGGATGATGATGCCGAAGAGGAGGAAGAGGAATGATGGAAAGAAGCTTCTACACTTGCACCGCCCTTCCTCGTGCCAAGGAAGAATCACGAGTGCTTCCCTTTCCCCCTCTTGCTCCTGTACATCGTGTATCGTGCTCTGACGTGCGCATGCGCCCTAATGAATGCCCTCCCTCCTCCTTTACTCGTGTGCCTGAAGGACGGATGGCGTGCGACGCATCACTGATTGAGCTGCATCGCTCACGAGATTCACAATCGCAATGAACGCAAGCTCGTCAAACGATGTCAACGTCACACTCGTGACTTGCAAGTGAAACATCGCCTTTCCTCGACCGCGGTATGCCATGATCAAGAATCACAAAGTGAAAAAACTTTCCAGGCAACGCTGACTTACACACCAACGCACATCCTCACGCTCGCGATCCATCGCTCGCACCGTTTGGGGGACCCTTCAACATAAGAGAGGAGAGAGAGAGAGAGAGAGAGAGAGAGAGAGAGAGA